GCTATTAACTTCCATACTTTTGCCAGTTTCCCTCACCACCAAGCCAATTGCTACAGTCTTTTTTCAGGCTTCATATCAATTAAGATCTCAGGTTTCTAGTACTTGAGAATATAGTGGATCTCACAATACCACATGATGACTGGATCTGAAGATGGTCAGTGAGTCCTCAAACATAGAACAATGGTAACACTAGGTAAAACTCTTCTGACAGATATATGTTATTACATGAGAGTGAGTTCTAACTGCTAAAGGAAGATACTGTGTGAAAGAAACATTTTGTTTTTGGGTGAGATGTAGGAGCACTTGCCCTTTAAAGTTAAGATTTTGCTAGTAAGTTGACAACCTGTATAAACTCATTTTATAAAACAAAAAAATTAAGTTTATCAAACTATAAAGCTATGCCTTATTTTAAAATGCAGGTTTATATAACATTCTAAAACAACTAAATATGTAACCATGATTTATGCTGATAAATTTTAATTGCCCAGATGCCCACTATCCAGTGTCATATTGAAGGACAGATGGGAAGAAAAAAATAAGTCCAGAATGTTCCTTAAAGAGTTAGACAAAAGATAGTGCCAGGAGGGCACAGTTTTAAACCACAGGGGAATGATAAAAGTAAAGGTATGGGCTGGGCACCATGGTTTATGCTTGTAATCCCATCACTTGGGAAGCCAACACCAGCAGATGGCTAGAGCTCAGGAGCCTGAGACTAGCCTGGGAAAAACGGTGAAATCCCATCTCTACAAAAAAATACAAAAAATTAGCCAGGTGCAGTGGTGTGCGTCCCAGCTACTTGAGATGCTGAAGCAAGAGAATCATTGAGCCCAAGAAGTTGAGGCTACAGTGAGACATGATCGCACCATTGCACTCCAGCCTGGGTGAGAGGAATGAAACCCAGTCTCAACAACAACAAAAAGAATGAAAGTAAAGGTACAAATATTTGAGAATTGAAACTGAGACTGACATTATGGTTAGTTTCATCAATGATCCAGCAGCAGTCTTAAAAGCAAAACAAGATGGCCAACATCCCAGGTAAAACACAACCAATCCTGCAAGCTGAAAACCTGTATAGTCAGGCTAACTATACAGACAATGAACGCTTACAAGCAGGGAAGACAGGCAGCAGCTGAATAAAAATGTAGATATCAAACCATAAGCAAGGCAAGCAGAGGACACAATCTATCCACACAAATATGACAGATACAAATAATGGCATGTAGGGAAGCCGTAGCCAGAAATCAGAAACCAGATGACATTTCATGAATGAAAGCACCAAGAATTGCTCCATGATCAAAACCTTACCTAGAAACAACAGGTACTTAAATCCAGGTATGTTTCAACCCAATCTATCAAATTCTATCTTTATTTTTCTCACCAGCAAATGACAACTTTTCTGAATCATCATTTCAACTATGTTCTTACTAGAAGTTTTCTTCACCCTTCTCATCTTCTTTCTGGACATGTATGCCTAGAGCCAGCCCTCAATCTGGATATTAACAACTTCTCTATATTCCTGGGAGATGTCAAAGAAAATTCTCACAGACAAGTATGCTTAAGAGTTAATGCTTTCTAACACAAGGTAGAGGGGCAGGGAGAGGGAAGGGGGGGCCTCTTGGCCAGACTCTGTCAGCAGTAGTAAAGTGAGGAAGATGGCCGGCGTAGTCAAGAAATTGGTTACATACATGAGGATTGAGAAAATAAGAACACATGTGGAGGATAAGGGAAACCAGATTTCTCTTGGTGAAGAGAAGTGAAATATGGCAAATGACAAGTCTAGCATAAAACATAGTATTGGACTAGAATCAGAAATATTAGTGTGAACTCATGGTTCTAAACATACATAGAGGCCGGGTGGGTGGCTCAGGCCTGTTATTCTAGCACTTTGGGAGGCTGGGGTGGGTTAATCACCTGAGGTAAGGAGTTCGAGATCAGCCTGGCCAACATGGCAAAACCCTGTCTCTACTAAAAATACAAAAAAGCCATACGTGGTGGCACACGCCTGTAATCCCAGCTACTCGGGAAGCTGAGGGAGGAGAATCGCTTGAATCCAGGAAGTGGAGGTTGCAGTGAGCCGAGATTGCACCACTGCACTCCAGCCTTGGCGACAGGAGCAAGACTCCATCTCAAAAAAAAAAAAAAAAATTACATAGAATGATCATGAAATAGGCATGTGTCTGACTATGAAAGAATATATGCATATTTTTACATGTTTCCTAGCTGTCTACTCAAAGAGGGCCTAGAAGCAATGACACTTCAGAAGAAATAACCATACCAAATAGTGAGCAACAACTCTCTGTTGCCAGGCCGGAGTGCAGTGGCACAATCTTGGCTCACTGCAACCTCCACCTCCCCGGGTTCAAACAATTCTCCAGCCTCAGCTTCCTGAGTAGCTGGGATTACAGGCACCCACCACCGTGTGTGGCTAATTTTTGTATTTTTTAGTAGAGATGGGGTTTCGCCACCTTGGCCAGGATGGTCTTGATCTCTTGACCTTGTAATCTGCCTGCCTTGGCCTCCCAAAAGTGCTGGGATTACAGGTGTGAGTCACTGTTCCCAGCCTAAAAATACATATATACATTCTAACATACATGGAGGGGAAGAAAAGATCCACCTTACAATAGAAGGCCAAATACTAGTAACTGTAGAACAAATGCTATAATTAGGACATCACATTTGGCAACCAATGTTGTAAAAACTGACTCAGGCAAGAATCAATGCTAAAACTAGGGGATCAAAGTCTAATCAAGAAAGGTGATGAACGTGATAGATACAGTATTTACCAAGTGATCAGTTAACATTAATAGTAATAGTACAAACAGATATTGAGTACCACCTGATGGGACACAGCAAGAAAATGGCATCTCCTTTGTACTGCCATCAAAACTGTGTAACATAAATCAAATCATGAGAAAGCATCAAACACAAACTAAAGGATATTGGACAAAATAACTGGCCTCAGCTCTCCCAAAGACGTAACAGCCATGAAAAGTCCAGGAAACACAGATCCCATGGCAGACTGAAGGAGAGTAGAGACTTGTGCCAACTAAACATAACATGTGATTCTGGATTAGATCATGGGTTCTTTGTTTAGCAGATGTGGGGGTATGGTTTAGTTGTTTTGCTATAAAGAACATTACTGGAAAAACAACTGAAATTTGAATCGGATCTGTGGATTAGACAACGGATTACATCAATGTTTGATGGGTATGCTGTGGCAATATAGTGAAGTGCTCTTGTTTTTAGAAGGTACAAACTAGGTATTTCGGAGTAATGGGCATCATATCTGAACTATCAAGTCACACACACATATACATACATCAATGGAAGAAGGATGCATTTCACCCTCCAGGGGACATTCGGCAATGTCTAAAGACATTTTGGGTTGTAACAACCAGGAAAGGCGGGGAGGGGTGCTACTGACAATTAGTGGATAGAGGCCAGGGATGTTGCTGAATATCCTCCAGTATACAGGGCCAGCCTTCAAAACAAGAATTATTCAGTCCAAAATATCAATAGTGCTCAGGCTGAAAAACTATGATATAGGAGGAGGAAAACTCTTATCACTCTAAGTCACGGACTACCTCTTTACCACTTGGAAATGGGGCCACTGATATCCTTAAATCTAATCAGATTAGAGAACCAGAAAATCCAGATACTCCCACTGACTACTAACTACACAAGGGTGTTTCTACTATAACAGAGAATGAGCCAGACACAATGGCTCTTGCCTGTACTTCCAGCACTTCAGAACGCCGAAGAGAGCAGATCACCTGAGCCCAGGAGTTCAAGACCAGCCTGGGCAATATAATAAGACCTCATCAGTACAAAAATTAGCAAGTGTGGTGTCGTGTGACTGTAGTCCCAGCTACAGGCACTAGCTACCCTCAGGAGGCTGAGATGCAATGAGCCATGTCATGCCACTACACTCCAGCTTAGGCAACAAAGCGAGACCATGTTTCAGAGACCATGTTTCAAACAAAAACAGGGACTGGAATGACTGCTGAGAACATTTCCTATATCCACCTAACTGGCCGCCTTTTTTCCTCCTGGTACGTGCAAGATAACTTATGTAAAACTTCCTTGGAGAACTGAGCTTTCCATTAATCCTAATTTCTCATATATAAACAAATTTGTGTCATCTAAATAAGTAAGCCTCTTCTGGGAATAAAATGCTAGGGCTACACATAAGATCCTGCTCCTGGTTAAGTGGTAAAACCAACTGAAGTTGGCTCCTAAAAGTTGTGTTTATTCTAGTTTTGTTTCTAAGTAGGTTTTGTGAGAATTCATTTATATTTACTATATGTCTTTTAAATTAGAAAATATTTTTGGCCAGGCGCGGTGGCTCATGCCTGTATCCCAGCACTTTCGGAGGCTGAGGCGGGTGGCTTACTTGAGGCCAGGAGTTCAAGACCAGCCTGCCCAACATAGTGAAACCCTGTCTCCATTAAAAATACAAAAGAAAAAAAAAAATTAGCCAGGCATGGTGGTGGACATTTGTAATCCCAGCCACTTGGGAGGCTGAGGCAGGAGAATCGCTTGAAACCGGGAGGCAGAGGTTGCAATAAGTCGAGATCACACCATTGCAATCCAGCCTGGGCAACAAAAGCAAAAACTCCATTACCAAAAAAAAAAAAAAAGAAAGAAAGAAAAGAAAAGAAAAGAAAGAAAATATAAATATTTTTTATTTTGTATGTCCTTGTAGATTTTGCCTGCAGTTCATACTTTGAAATGGTCACCCAGTAGTGTCTTATCTAGCATTGTCTAAATCTGAGCATCATACGGTGGAATCAAACTTCAGTAGGAAACCACGAGTTATTAATACATTTTCCATTCAAATACTAATTTCAGAAGAAAACATAAGCTATTATTCTTAATAGGGCTAATCTGAATTAATCTGCCTTTATGTTTGGGGAAAAAATAGCTGAGACATTGCATGAAAGATGTTGTGGGATATATGTTGATCTTTTGGCCCCATTTGTTAATTACCTATTTGAACATTGTCCTGTTCTATTGTTAGTTTTCTTCATCATTTACTGTATAGTCAGCTTTTAAATTTCTGTAATATGAGACCTTTCTCTATCTTTTTTTTTTTTTTTTTTTTTTTAGACGGAGTTTCACTCATGTTACCCAGGCTGGAGTGCAATGGCGCGATCTCGGCTCACCGTAACCTCCGCCCCCTGGGTTCAGGCAATTCTCCTGCCTCAGCCTCCTGAGTAGCTGGGATTACAGGCACGCGCCACCATGCCCAGCTAATGTTTTGTATTTTTAGTAGAGACGGGGTTTCACCATGTTGACCAGGATGGTCTCGATCTCTTGACCTCGTGATCCACCCGCCTCGGCCTCCCAAAGTGCTGGGATTACAGGCTTGAGCCACCGTGCCCGGCCAGAGACCTTTCTCTATCTTTTAAATTATTGTTATCTAAAGTTAATAAATCCAGATTATATGTTTCTTACACTTGGGCAACATTAAAATGAATAAAGGCTTTGCCTTGAAAAAAAAAAAAAAGTTAGGGCTACTATGTTAAAACATAGCTTGTTAAGACACAGCTTTGGCTGGATGCGGTGGCTCACCCATGTAATCCCGGTACTTTGGAAGGTCAAGGTGGGCAAATCACTTGAGGTCAGCAGTTCAAGACCAGCCTGGCAAACAGGTAAAACCCCATCTCTACTAAAAATATAAAAATTAGTTGGGCATTGTGGTACACGTCTGTAATCCCAGCTACTCAGAAGGCCAAGGCAGGAGAATTGCTTGTACCCAGGAGGCAGAGGTTGCAGTGAGCCAAGATCATGACACTGCACTGCTGCCTGGGGGACAGGGTGAGACTCCATCTCAAAAAGACACAGCTTTACTCATATTACATTTTTCAAATAAGCTCAGTCTCATAGCCCTTTTTGTTTTATAAATTAGCAATAATTTTCTTAATTTTCTCTGATACTATCACGTTGCATCCATCAACAGTAAATAGGTCTGCTGCTGACTCAGTTGCCATGACCTGATTTACTTTACACCAGACAGATTCCTTTGTAATTAGGTCAAGTACATGTACACTGCTGCCTTCTAAGTTATGTTAGTAACAAAGAAATTAGTCCAATATTAAGTTCAAAACTAAAAAAACAGAACACAAATAGGTACAAATGAACTCAACTGAACACAGAATTAACATAAGCAGACAATATAAAAATCATTTCAACTAATTTTAACACACTAACACGGCTGTTCATTCTAAGTAAACTATAATCTAAAGACAAAACAAATTACAAAGAAATTAAAATTCACTCAATATATTTATTGCTCGTATTATTGGAATTATAATTTTTATATATATGTATGCTGTAGGATAAAGCAAGTAAATACACAATTCTGTAATGCTAAATTTGAAATAAAACTATCAATAATATAAACTCATGGTTCATTTTTCAACGTATTTCCCAACTCTATCCAAAGAAAGAGCCTAGAAGTGATGAACACACTCAGCACTCAGATCTTGGTTTCTAAGTACTAATGTCCACAAAAATGACCAAGGTTCCTAGAAAAACAGATGATTCCATAACTTAAACAGAGAATCTACAAGATGAGACTAAGCCATCTTATGGTACCGAAGGCAAGGGAAGTGCTCAAAGATGATAGGTTAATTCAAAAGGATACAAGAGACAGCTTTAAATGGTTCACATTGGCCAAATTTGAAACAACTTCAACTTAAAAAAAAAAAAAAAAGGCAAAATCAACTATAAAACATTTAGTAAATATTTATTTTTATTGCATATATTTAACATATGCAAGATGTTTTGATATACACAGTGATTACTACAAGCAAGCAAATTAACATATCCATCGCTTTCCATAGTTTACCCTGTGTGTGTGTTAAAAGCACCTACATCTACTACTCTCTTAGAAAATATCCTATATATATTATTAACTACAGGCCTCCTACTATATATCAGATAGCCACATTTATTCATCCTACAAAACTGCAAGTATGTACTATCTAACCAACACTGCCCTATTTCCTCCCCCTCCTCATCCCTGGTAACCACCATTCTATTCTGTTTCTACGTCTTCCAACTATTTTTAGTTTGATACAAAAATGAGACCATGAAGTTTTTAATATTATTTGTGTCTGAGTTATTTAACTTAGCATAATGTCAGTAAGTAAAACTGTTATCCAATAAGCAAAAATTACTGAATCTATAGATGAGGACAGTGGGAAGAAGAAGGGAAGGTGAAGAGAGATGAAGGTTCCTCTTTACAAAATTCCAGCTATTAAATGTGTAAGAAATAACGATTAGAAAATTCATCGTTCTATAACTCGAGCAATAAATGATGTAGATAAAGCTCAACAATGGATACAAAAATATGAGGTAAGATAGTAATGTGGAATAGGGCATGCACGTGGTGCCAGACTAGCACTCTGAAGTTTACTACTAAATTATAAAAGGAGAAATGTATTTTTATTTTGGAAAGAGCTGGTGATCACAACCTTAACTAGGTGGTCAAACAATGATAAGAGTGGAATAATCAGATGTCACGAAACTTCTGATGTAAAGCATCATACAAAATGCAACTGCTGAAATAGTCTTACCACCCGGACCCCAAAAAAACAGTCTAACCTAAATTTAATCCAACTTCTAGACTTAAATTCCAGAACTTTAATACAGTGAGGCAACACTAGGAAACAATCAGATAAATTCTGAATGTAGAACTTTCTGTATCCTGGGCTCTTAAAAAAAATATCAGGGCCAAGGGAAATTTTTTTCAAAGGAGGGGACTCTTCAAAACTAAGAGAGACATAACTAAATGATTATGGTTTACAAAAAAAACCATGAAGACATTTTGAAGATGAGAAAAACTGAATACACAGTGATTATCAGATTTTATCAAAGAATTACTAGGAATTTACATAAGTGTTACATAACTACAGGTACGAGGCCTTTTTCTTAAGAAATTCAGGCAACTTACTTTTCAAATAAGACCGTATATATGTTTGATATAATAAGTATTACACATTATACAATAAATACATAAAGCGAAGAGACCATGTACAATTATGGTTAAAATGTTAACTGCAAAGCAATCTAGGCAGAGGGATATGGGTATTCATTTTACTGCTTTTTCACATTTTCTGCATATTTCAAATTTTCATTTATTTATTTATTTTTAAGAGACAGGGTATCACTCTGTTGCCCAGGTTGGAGTGAAATGCTGTGATCATCGCTCACTGCAGCCTTGAACTCCTGGGTTCAAGTGACCTTCCTGCCTCAGCCTCCCAATTACCTGGGACCACAAACAAGTCACCATGCCCAACCACATTTTTTTTTTAAGAGATGGGGCTGCCAGGCGCGGTGGCTCACGCCTGTAAATCTCAGCACTTTGGGAGGCGGAGGTGGATGGATAACGAGGTCAGGAGTTCGAGACCAGCATAAACAAGATGGTGAAACCTTGTCTCTACTAAAAATACAAAAATTAGCTGGGTGCAGTGGCAGGTGCCTGTAATACCAGCTACTCGAGGGGCTGAGGCAGGAGAATTGCTTGAACCTGGGAGGAGGAGGTTGCAGTGAGCTGAGATTACACCACTGCGCTCTGTAGCCTGGGCGACAGAGTAAGACTCCATCTCAAAAAAAAAAAAAAAAAAGACAGGACCAGGCGCATTGGCTCACACCTGTAATCCCAACACTTTGGGTGGCCGAGGCAGGCAGGAGTTCAAGACCAGACTGGCCAACATGATGAAACCCCGTCTCTACTAAAAATACAAAACATTGGCCAGGCATGGGATGCTCGCCTGTAGTCCCAGCTACTCAGGAGGCTGAAACAGGAGAATTGCTTGTGCCTGGGAGACAGAGGTTACAACAAACTGAGATCATGCCACTGCACTCCAGCCTGGGCAACAGAGCAAGACTATGTCTCAAAAACTTTTTTAGGCCAGGCGCAGTGCCTCACGCCTGTAATCCCAGCACTTTGGGAGGCCGAGATGGGCAGATCACAAGGTCAGGGATCAAGACCATCCTGGCTAACACAGTGAAACCTCATCTCCACTAAAAATACAAAAAATTAGCCAGAGTGGTAGTATACACTTGTAGTCCCAGCTATTCAGGAGGCTGAGGCAGGAAAATCACCTAAACCTGGGAGGCAGAGGTTGCAGTGAGCTAAGATCGCACCACTGAACTTCAGCCTGGGAAACAGAGCGAGACACTGTTTTTTAAAAAAAAAAAAAAAAAATTAAAAAAATCAAAAGATGTTATTTGGCTTTTTTACTGCACTGACATTCACATGGATGGGTAAAATTGCTGGTGCCTTGTCATGAATAAAGGTAGGATCTCTGAACTGCTACATACTATGTAGCAGTCAAAAAGTAAAATGTCAGTTTCACTTAAAGCCCTTAATGAAGGAAAAAAATGATTAATTTTATTAAATCTCTACCACTGAATATACTAATAATTTCTGTGACAAAGCAAGTATGCATAAAACGCTGCTGCTGCATGCAAAGCATAGTGGTTGTATGGAGGGAAAAAACACCACTGTTTAAGTTGCAAGCCAAACTAACTACTTTTTTCTCAAACATCATTCTTTTTTGAGACAGAGTCTAACTCCATCGTCAGGCTGGAGTGCAGGGGCGCGATCTCAGCGCACTGCAACCTCCGCCTCCCGGGTTCAAGCAATTCTCCTGCCTCAGTCTCCTGAGTAGCTGGAACTACAGGCACATATCACCACATCCAGCTAATTTTTTGTATTTTTAGTAGAGAGAGGGTTTCACCATGTTGGCCAGGATGGTCTCAAGCTCTTGACCTCATGATCCACCTGCCTTGGACTCCCAAAGTGCTGGGATTACTGGCATAAGCCACCATAGCTGGCCTCAAGCATCATTCTTTACTGGAAAGATTGACAAACTATGCTGATTCAAATGTGGGAATGTGGCAGGTATTTTCTCAAAAACAAACAGTAAATCTGTCACTGCCCGTTGTTTTCCTTGAAGTATATGTTTCCAATTAAAAAAAAAAAAATTGAACTTTCAAGCAAAAATGACTTTTAAAGAACTTATATTGGCCGGGTGCGGTGGCTCACGCCTGTAATCCTAGCACTTTGAGAGGCCAAGGTGGGTGGATCACCTGAAGTCAGGAGTTTAAGACCAGCCTGGCCATGGTGAAACCCCGTCTTTCAAAAAAAAAAAAAAAAAGAACTTATATCTACCACCGTTAACTTGACAGATTCCCAGTACTTACAAACTTTTCTGAATTTGGCAGTGGTATTAATGTGTTTTTTTTTTTTTGATACTGTATAATGAAATGGGTCATCATTTGAAAGATGTGCATAATTTATTGTTACCAGTATTTTGCAAGTGACTAGTGTATGATGTTACAAAGCATGTATGGGTAAATACCCATTCAAAATGCAAGACAAAGCAACAGATCTTAATATAATGGTATAAAAGGTTACTGGCATGGTTTTAGATTCCAAGTTGCAACTACGAAACTCCCATTTCTTGAGTTCTGGGGTAGTACTCTATATATAAGAATATCCAAAATTACCTGAAAAGGCTATTAAAATACAACGACACATCACTGTGAAGTCATAGAGTTTTATAGAAATTCAAAGTCTCAGCTAAGCACCTGGGAGTGCAAAAGCATAACACAATGACAGTGAAAAGATCTCCAAATGG